AAACCTTTAAGTGTACATAAATCTTACTCATGCTTATCAACACGTAGTTTAGGTCGGCCATCAAAATCTTCTCAACGTTCTTCTTTTGCAACTCCTTTTAGTTCAGAATGTCGTTGTATGGTGAATGATTTATCATCAAGACCTTTTAAGAACCTTTCCTCAAGTAAAAAAACAGCTAGTGGCAAGTCAAGACTTCGAGTTGAGAGTTTAAATGGCCAGGATGCAAGTGAACCAATTGCAACTATGAGGTCACATAAAATATTCGAGGTCCCATTTAAGAAAAAATCACAAACCAAATTGCAAAACATTTCATGTCAACAGCATAGAGTAACACAATTTTCATCTATATTTCATCGCTCTCTAGATACATTTTCAGGCCAAAAAATCGTTAGTGATAATATGCAAAGATCATCTGATCATTTAAGTTCGAAGAAAAAGAGTGTTACGACAAAATTTCCGTCAGGAAATTGGACTGAGAGCATGTTTGAAGCTCAATCTAATGTGATTGCACAACGTCAATCAGAATGTGTCGAAGAAGATGATGACTCTGAGTTCACGAGATATGTTTTACCTAGACCTTATTATCCTCCTGACGCTTTACACCCCATCGTGCCAATAATTCCAGGTACGTGTAGATGTGCAGCAAAAGAACGATTTAAGCAAGGCGAAGATTTCAGTAATGTTTCAATTATAAGTAAACCTTCACCTCTAAGTAATGTTTCATATAGAATGGAATCTAATAGCTATTTAGGTCCGCAAAGTACACTGACACAAACTCCTTCTCGTCCAGATAAATACAAACAAACGACAACAAATAATCAAACAGTGTCTTCCGAGCACCATAGCAATGAGCATGTCACGTCTAAAAATCCTTTAATTGACCGTCATCAATCCACTCAATTGACCGAGAATCTAAGAAATGACACCGATAAATTATCAATACATTCATGTACACATAAAGAAAAATGCTTTTCCCAAACTGCTCAAACAACACCAATTCATTCAGGTAAATGTGATTGTTGTTCCGGGAAACTACATTGCAAAGTATCCTCAAATTCACAGAAATGTGAAAAAACTACTTGTAGAAAATTATCAGGTCATAAAATATTATCTCAATTACAATGTAATACTTCAAAACAAATATCTTTGAAATGCTCTCCTGACAGAGTCAGGCAGTGTTCAAATTGTCAACATCCTGTTACGTCACAAAATTACAATTGCGATCAAAATAGCCTTTCATCTAAATACACATCACCTCCCCCAGATAAAACTGTTATAGGTACTAACATTCTTGTGAAGTCAAATGTACGTCATCAGTGCGCAAAAGCAAAACATGCTCAATCTTCAGGTACACGAGTAGCTTCTCAACAAACTGACTCAACTTTTCAATGTAAAGATAAAAACCTAGCCATCAATTTAGACAAAAATGAGAAATTAATGTCTAATTTATCATTAGCATCTGTTGCTAAGCACAAACTTAAATCTGAACGACCTCATCCAAAAGAAAAAAAATATAACAAATACCAGCAAACGCATAGCTTCCAAGATAAAGCCATTTGTGTTCGACAAATACGCCCGAAAAAACGAATATCTGTTGGCTTACAAAAAAATAAAGGTACCCAATCTCCCGAGAGGACTAATAATAAAATAACGGTAAATTTCCAAAAATCTTATTTGGTTTCGGATGTTTGTTCCACTAAGAAAAAACGGCACACGCGTGACCACGATAATTCACACAGCATAGGTGTACGCAATAACTTATTCGGGAAACAACGTATTATAATTCAACGTTCTGAAATTGTTCAAAACCAGAAAGTTTTACCAAACGATCAAACACCACTTATTCAGCAATTTGCACCAAACCAAGAAAATCTACCCAATAAAGAAAATGTTACAAAAACCGACGGTGAGCTTCCTCAGAAGAAAAAAAGCCCTATAAAGAGCTTAAAGGAAACTCTTTTTCCAAAAAAGTCCGCATTAAAAAATAGTGTTTGTAAATGTCCACCTGGAGAAACATCTGGGCAACAACCATCAGGAGAAGGACAAAACATTTCAGCTGGCGGTGCCATGCAACCTAACACTGGTAATCAGCAGTCGCCGTATCCAGACTTTAACCGAGTATCAATGCGTTACATTGGTGATAAGCCAACAGGCCCACCATTACCTACTACGCCACCACCAAATTACGAGCGCTTACCGTGTTATGCTATCCCAGCTAATAAATGTGGACCACGAACTTGTTTCGATGAGTTTGCACTAAGACGTGCATATAAACGTCGTCCATTACGCGTCATTTTGGACGACGTTGGTGCTGGCGCTGTCACTAGTTTTGGCGCTGGTCCTGTCCCTGGTACTAGCCCTGTCCCTGGCCCTGGTCCTGGTCCTGGTCCTGGTCCTGGCGCTGGTCCTGTCCCTGGTGCTGGTCCTTTTCCTGATACTGGTCAGTTCCCTGGCACTAGTCCTGTTCCCGGCGCTGGTCCTGTTCCCGGCGCTGGTGCTTTCTCTAGCGCTCCTGACGCTAGTCCTGTTCCCGGCGCTGGTCCTGTTCCCGGCGCTGGTGCTTTCTCTAGCGCTCCTGGTGCTAGTCCTTCTCCTGGAGCTAGTCCTGTTCCTGGTGCTGCTCCTTACCCTGGCGCTGGTCCTGCCCCCCGTCCTGCTCCCATCCCTGGCGATGATTACGATGCTCGTGCTGCCCCCCGTCCTGGTCCCCGCCCTGGCGCTGATTACGATGCTCGTGCTGCCCCCCGTCCTGGTCCCCGCCCTGGCGCTGATTACGATGCTCGTGCTGCCTCCCGTCCTGGTCCTCGCCCTAGTCCTCGCCCTGGTCCTCGCCCTGATTCCCGCCCTGGTTACGATGCTCGTGCTGTTCCTCGCACTCCACCCCGCGCTAGCCCTCCTCGTTCTGACCGTAAAGTTGTGGCTCGTGCTGATCCTAACCGTGAATTGGCTCGTGTTGATAGGGAATTACGTAATGTACGGCGTTCAACGCTAAAGCAGTATCAAGGTCATCAACAAAGAAAGAATAAGAGAATAAGTGTACAGAAGGAGAGAGATAAATATTTATTACCTCCTCCTCCTCCTTCTGAATTTGAACCTAAAGGTAAAGTAGCTAAAGCTAAATACAAATTACGTAAAGCTAGATACGACGCAGTTTATAACTATCGGTGTATTATGGATCAAGCCAAGAATTCTGAGAAGGAAGCATGGCCAAACGAAGTTACCTGTAGACCCATGTACATACATGCCTTGAAGCGCAGGCCTTGTTTCTGGATTCACAAGCGTTGTCCAGATTTTTACCCAATATTCTTAAGTTTAGTTAAATGTCAACAAAGTTGTTGTCAAACTTGCATGTATGGTCTTGCTATATGTTTGTGGTCTCCATGTTTTCTATGTTGTTATGCATGTTTAGGTTTAGTATGCAGATAGCATAATTAAACATATTTACAATCGACTCTGTTACTTTTTTATTTTTACTTAGATTGTATTGACTACAGTTCATCATAGTATTTGGTACTACCAATAAATTGGTGTAGAAATTCAAACATAAAATTCGTATTAGCTTCCCCGTCATCATTTTGTGTGCATCCCCGTTTATTGGATTGCAAATAGGTATATACCTAAACGTAACTGTTTGCACAGAACTTCATATTGACCGATTCTATTCAGCAGAGAAAAGAATCATTAGGTAGGTTGACTAGATTTTTTAAACAATAGCCTCGCCTTCAGCTATATGCACTGGAATAGTAGATACATATTATTATTAAGTACTTACCTAATAAATATTGTTAAGTACCTAAATCAATAAAATTTTAAAAATTAATGTTTTTAATAAGTTTTGTTTATTGCTATAATAATTATTGGCCGTTATTTGCTTAATTAATACCTATTTATTAACGCGAGGAACCACTACAATTCCACAGAAAACTACACCAAGTGACCATCTCCACCAGCATCACCATTAAATGAAAATAAAAGTGTGTCGGTAAAACACAACTAAACTAATATCTCAATCAGTCACGATCAAAACAAAATCAAAATATTTCATGTGGCAGGCCATGCTTTGGCACGAATGGAAATCGGCCACGAAACAATTTACGTTGTGTTTCGCCGTGTGAGTGAGGTTACCGGAGACTCTATCCTTCCCCTTAATCAATTCCAATTCTAATCTCATTCCCAATTCCCAAAAAGGAAGGCTGGCACCGCACTTGTAGCTCTTCTTGACTATTGGGTGATCCTTCTGCTCATTTGCCACCATTTGACATTAAAATTGAAACTAATCCATACAAAACATAGCATTAAATAAACGTTAACAAAAAAAGTCTTGCAGCATTACCCCTACTGAAACTTAAATGTATCAAACCAAAGGGATTTATCTTAACAATCACCTCTACCTTTACCACCACCATAACTGAAATTGTTTACTTGAAACGCAGTCTGGTTAAAAAATTCAAATTTTGGTTAGTTCACAAAACATTAAGTAATAGTAATACTTTAAGTATTTTTTTAAATTAATATTAGAAATATTTAGTTTCGGATGTTTGTTCCACTTACAAAAACTAAACCATGCGTCGAATTATTCTTATTATACATATGTATATATATAAACATATATACTTTTTCAAAAAAATCATTTAGCAGCAAATTGTATCATATTAACAAATTCTTCTTAAACAGGAAGTTCACGGAATTGGTAAACTTTTAAAAAGAAAAGAAAGTTTGACGCACGTTAAATTAGATAAATATCTATCCCCGCCCGCAAAAAATCTTGCACTGTAGATAAGTCTTCAATTGTACCTATACTTGCAACAAATTTTTCTAAGTCAACAAATATCGCAAAATTTACAGAAACTTGAAATAGGCTTAAAGTTTTCAAAAGTTTAAAAAAATTGTGTTAGACAAATCTACTACAATTTAAAAGAGTATATTATAAAAAAAGAATTCGTGTGAATGTCCTACTGAACAAAACACCTGTAGAAAAACAACCTAATGGATTGTTACAGCGGCGATACTCATCGAGACGGGGACAAAAGAATTCAGCGAGCAGGAACATGCAACATTATACCCAGTCTGCTAAACAGCAGTTGCCATATCCAGACTTGAATGTAATAACAATGCGCTACACTGGTCACAAAACTTCCAAAAAACGATCAGAACCAAATATCCAATACTTTTACCCATCTGGAACTACACCACCACCAAATTTTGGTCGCTTACCGTGTTATGCTATTCCAGCTAATAAATGTTCACCGCGGTCATGTTTTGACGAGTGTGCTATCAGGCCTATGTATAAACGTCGTCCATTACAAATCGTAACAAACGACGTTGGAACTGGGACTAGATTTGGCTATGGCCTTGGTAGTTATGTCGGTTATAGTAACGGCGCTGGGTACTGCCCGTGCACTTACCCTGGTCCTGGTACTGGCATTGCTACTGGAAATCACACTAGCCTAAGTACCGGGGCTGGCTATGGCGCTGGCCATAACACCGGTTATACTAGTAATCAGGGTCGTTGTCCTTGCCCTTGTTCCGACGCCACTGGTCCTGATGGTGGTGCTGGCCCTCGCGGTAGTATTGGCTCCCGCGGAGGAGCTGGCTACCACAGTTTTGCAGGCCCCCGCAGTGGGGCAGGTCCCCGGAGTAGTGTTGGTTCCAGCAATGGGGCTAGTCCCCCCGGTATGGCTGGCCCCCGCGGCAAGGCTGGCTTCCGCGGTAAGGCTGGCTTCCGCGGTAAGGCTGGCTTCCGCGGTAAGGCTGGTCTCCGCGGTAAGGCTGGTCCCCGCGGTGATGCTGGCCCCAGTGATAGTTCTGGCTCCGGCGGTGGTGCTGGTCTTGGCGATGGTGCTGGCCCTGGTGATGGTGATGCTGGCTCTAGCCCTAGTGTTAGCTTTGCTCCTGGCATTCCTGTGGTCGCCGGCCCCGGCACTCACGCGCGTCGTGGCACCCGCGCTCGCCGTGGCACACGCGCTCGGGCTGCTCGTGGTAAAAGCGCGCGTGCTAGCCAGGAAATTCGCAATAAAGCTGACGTTAGCCCCGACGTTAGTCCGGACGTTAGCCCTGATGTTAGCCCCAACGTTAGCCCCAACGTTAGCCCCAACGTTAGCGCTGATGATGGTGTAGGTGCTGAAGTTGGCCCAAAAGTTCGTAATTCACCGGATAAATCCTCTACTTCAAGGCGAAAACAGTCTCACAATAAAAAGAAAAGAAGCAGTAATAACAAAGTAATTGCCAAAAATAGGAAAGATAAAAAATCAACTTCTCCTCGTCCTTCTTCGCCTCCTCCTCCATCGCCACCTCCTGAGGGTTCTAAAAACAAAGTAGAACAAATCAAATATTTAGTAGCTAAAGCTAAATACGACGCAGTTCGATGCTATCACTGTTTGATTGATTCAGTCAGAAATTCTGAAAAACGCGCATGGCCATATGAAATTACCTGTAATGACATGTACATTCATATCCTGAAGCGTAGACCATGTTTCTGTATTTACCGCCTATGTCCATCGTTTTACCCAACATTCTTAAGTTTACTTAAATTTCGACGAAACTTTTGCGAAATACTATTGTATTGTTGCACTATGTGTTTGTGGTGTCCAGTTTTTTTAGTTATCTGTGTATGTTACAGTTTGATTTGCGAAACAACATAATTAAACATGTTTACAATCGATTCTCTTACTTTTTATTTTTATTTGAATGATGGCTTATAGTTACTGTAGTTCAAGATAGTTTTCGGTACCACTCCGTCCGTAGGACTTACACACATATTCAAACACTAAACTTATTTGCTTCTTCTTCATCATGACCCACTGCTTCTCTTATCAGTTAGGTTTGTCGCTTCTATTTCATTAAATAACTTACATTGCTACATGTAATTTAACGCACGTAGGTACTTTAGGTAGCAAGTACCTACTACTGACTTATTTCAAAACCTGTATCGGTACATATTTATGAATACAACTAGGTACCTAATAAATACCTACGATTAAAAACTGAACATCTATTGCAAATATTTGTTTTCACAATAGTTCATATTGTAGGGACAACGGCGATGGCATACATAGTGCCTATTGCATACTGGATTAGGTGTATAAAGCAACAACTGCTTTTTTATTCGATCGTTTTACCAACAATACACAACGACGACATTGTTATATATCACGTGTTTCTAAAATTATAATAATATATGTTTATACATTTTCACTTGCTACTCATGCGCTGTTTCATTGATCGTAGAATGATGTTTAAATAGCCGTCCTCGATGAATGGACTATCCAACATCAGGGTTAGGTACCAGAAAAGTTGATAAATAATACATAGACTCAAGCCTATTTTTATTTACTAGAATAAATAGTAGGGGATGCTATTTGATAGACACTGAACCCAAAATGTGATTAAAAAACTATTGTCTGTCTGTCTGTCGCTACGGACTCATGACGCGATTTTCACCCGTCGCGGTGGTAGTTATTTTCAAAACTCACGAGGCCTCATTTTTCTGCGGTCCCGCAGCCGCCGCGGTTGCGATAATCGCCCGCAAACTTGGCGGTTGATTACCGCAAGACGGTTAAACAATAAGTTGTATTCTAGACCGGTCCTCCCATTGCGATCACCCGCCAACCGATACGCGGCTGCGCCCGCCCGTGCAGCGGGAGCCGCAAACAATCGCAACTGTCGCGGACGTAAAACGCGTCGTGAAATAATTATGCTTTAATTTTTTACATACATATTCTACAAAGGCTGCGGGCCCGCAACACGGCGGGCGCGGTAGAAATAATTTCGTGAGTCCTTAGCCTGTGTTGTATGTTCACGCATCAAGCAAAAACTACCGGTCCGATTACAATGAAACTTGGTATGATTTATTCTGGGCATCACACTGGGTACTTTTTTCCCTAAATACAAAGTTAATTGTGCGGCTCGATCGAACTGTGTAGGACAGTTATTGAAATGTCTACAAACAGTTACTGAAGGCACGTAGAAGTTTGTCGAATGTTAGGTTGCCCGCTGTAGACCTTATGTCGAAATTAGCTTGAACTCCTATAAAAAATGGGAATTTGTGAGTTTGTGTGTTTGCGTGTTTATGTGGTACACACCACCATTATTGTTACTCAGTCATCAAAATGGCGGAAGGGACCGGGATAAAATTTGGAACAGGGGTAGATTATGGTCTGGAGTAATGCGTACGCTACTTTTTACCCCCGGGAACGCGGGTGAAGACGCTGGCAGAAACTAGTATTTAAATAAGTATATCTTAAACTATTATATACACGGTCATTCCCGTTCGTCACGCCCCCAAATTTGTGCCCACCGGTGACGAGTAGGAATTTTGTTCAAATAATTTTCCATATATGACTGCTCGTTAGCTGAGTGGTCACAAGTGCGACTGCCGGGCAAGGGGTCTCGGGTTCGATTCCCGGGATTTTTTTAAAATCTCAGTAGTATCACGAAGTCTGGAAATGTGCCCGGTATATGGCAATAGTGAAATGTGGTTGTTACCTCTGTGTGCACTTCTGCCTACTCCTTCGGGGATAAAAGGCGTGATGTTATGTTATGTAATTTCCCATATAGGTACTTATGGCAACCCTGACGACGAATGGGAGTTTTTTAAATAAAAATTTTACTCGTCACCCCTAATACATATTTAAATATGATAGCGGAGAACCTCGTTGGAAAATAATATCACGAACTAATGTTCGTGATATTATTTTTATGGAGTGAATCCTCAAACAGCCAATCCATGCTGGTTTATCGAACAAAACACTTTTTCGTTTACTGTGGTTTGGGGGGGGGGGGGAGGTTACATGTAATAAGGTAATAAAAAGATGAAGTGTAAAACTGGCGGAAGTTGCCCTAAGAGACCACGAGTTAAAAATCTAGAAGTGAGTTAGAAGCCTAGAAATTCACTTACGACCCACTTGACAACGAGGCAGTCTTCACGGAAACATATAAACGTATTGTATTGTGATGAGCGTACGGCGCGTCGCGTTCCGCGCGCGCCTCAAAGAGCCATCAGACCACCACAGATGGGGCCCAATAGGGCCGATGCCGATTCGGAGTCGCGGAGAACCTAGTGGTTTTTAGTCAGTAAGAGTCTGACACTCCCTTCCGCCTCACCCAGGCGGGAGCAGTCACTCGATGATTATCCCCCTTAAAAAAAAAATGTATTATGATATGCATAACACAAAATGAGTGAGCGAAACTGCAGGCACAGCTGTGTTAAGTGTAAGTGGAAGTAAATGAAAGTGAAAATCTTGGTTGTGTTTGAATTTCTAGGTAATAGGCTGTTTTTCATATCTGCGAATATTCAAAATGGGAAAATTGGATAAATATCTTTACTTTAGTGATTTCTTCTTGATCTGATCGCCCATCTGGTATGAACTATATGTATTTTTTTTTAAATGGCAACCCAATCTATGCTCTGGTGCTGAACCTGGCTGGGCTGGGTAGGTCTATTGATGTGACATTTTGGTTATATTTTTGACATTGTCAGTGTCAGACTCAGTGACAGGAAATCTAATATAACTAAGGTTATGTGGTTTTGGTTTAAAAAATTTCATTGCTTCTATTTTGTCCTATTGCATTTTAACATTACATTTAATAAAATACCTATATAGTTGTGAACTGTTTATTGAACTCATAATCTTTTGTGCTAATCTATCGTTAGTGATTAAATGTGTAGATTTGTCGCAATTTAAAGCAAATATCTAGGTAACAAATTTGTATGACGCTCCATAGTAAATTTTGAATAAGCAATTATTGGTGTCTAAACCATGCAAACCGAAGAAAAACGTCCGAAACAAGCAGTTGATTTGGCTTCTTTAGAGCCCAATACAAGAGTTAAGCAGTTGGCGAATTATGGTGCAATGGTTGACGTAGACCCGAATGTTCCACCGAGGAGGTGAGTTAACTTTATCGGATGCTTCAAGGTAGCTCTCGAAATTAACTTATAGTAATACAATTATTATACAATAGAAACTTTGTTACGGGTCATCTTGAAACATGCCCTGAAGTGGCTATTACAGTGGCATTTAGTCATTTAGAGATGTTTGAAAACAATAACAGATGACGAAATATATTCCATAATTACTGAGGATAAGAATTAATGACATAAAATAAAATAGTAACCTACCACACTTATTAGACCTTTGTAGGATCTGTTAAATTATTGTTGGTGCATTTAACATCATTGTTGACAAGACAAAGTGCAAAGTCATTTTCAATATTATAACTTTGGTTTTTATTTATACCATTTAACTCGTCGAGTACCGTATTTATAGACACAATTAAAGAACAATAGGTTGCGGTCACCGGTGACCGCTTGGTGTTCGACAGTTTAATTAAATTATAAAATATAGGCGCCTAACATGTTATAGTGCATGCAATTTTGGGCATTATTTTCGGAAATAGACTCTCAGGTTTATTCATCCAATGGTTGGATTATGATTTGTCAGTTGGTAAGGGAAAGTTACAAGCCTATACAGGTGTCCCCTAATAATTTATATAACTAAACCTTATTTTGTTTAAAACAAATTTATTTTGTGAAATTTTATGCGGGAACCTTAAATCTAAACTCACGACACTTTAATGATTGATGGTGTTAGACGCTCCTTGAAAAACAATTCAATTGTGTTATAATATGTAGGTACAATATTGCAATAATTTTTTTTTCTTAACACATGCACTATAATAACTTAAGCAGGGCATAGCAAGTATATTTTACTGTGTTGTTATCTTAGCTCACTAGATAATGCAAAATGAATTTATAAACCAATGTGTTTTTTTTGGAATTTAAGTAATAATATAAAGTACCTAATTTTATAATTCAATACGCTTGGATGGCATGCATTTGTTTTGGTTTAGTAATATGAATCAGTCCATCAGAGTTCAAAAATATTCAATACTAGCTTTTACCCGCGGCTTCGCTCGCGTCACAAAAGGATAAAAAGTAGCCTATGTGATATATACCAATACATACAGCGCCATCTATACCAATACTTATGTTTTTCCTCAGGAATATCAAATTTTTTCGGGATAAAAAGTACCCTATTATTTAATCCAGACTACTGACTTTACGTCTGCAAAAATTCAATGCAATCGGTTTAGTAGTTACGGCGTGAAGTCGGAACAAACAAACAAACTCACTTTCCGATTTATAATATTGGTAAGGATTTAGGTATAATAAATATCAAAATATGGGATATTTGTGTTATATATCAAGTTTGAAATATATATTGTATTGGTTTTACTGTGAATTATATCTATTTATATCAATAAAATTGATTTTTCGTTATTTAGTCTCGCTAAAACTCGAGAACGGCTGAATCAATTTGGCAAATTTTAGTCTTGAAATGTTCATGAAGGATAGGGAAGGTATAAAAGAGAAAAAAATGTGGCATTACGAAGTTGTATTTTATACTTATGTTTTACGTAAACAACAAATTATTAAAAAACACATGTTTTTAATGGTTTATTTTAAAGGCTAGTTCTTCAAATCAGACAAATGAACCCCCATAAATAATTTTGACAGGAAGGTATGTTCTGGCAAGAAAAAACCCAATCTTTATAAACAAACACAGAGTAAGGGGCAGCACAATATAAAATCAGGGCTGGTTCTCTAAATTGTTTGAAATAGAAATGTTTTTAGAAAAAACTAAGTTTGACATAATTTGTTTATCAGAACATTGGATGAAGGAGGATCAATTAATATCCTTAAACTTTGAAAATTACAATGTTATTAGTAATTTTAGTAGGAAGTGTATGTTACACGGTGGGTCTTTAATATTAGTAAGAAACAGTATTAAGTCAAAGGATAGGAAAGACATGTAGCATTGTCAGTCGAACACACCATTGAGTTGTCCTGTGTTGAGCTGGATAGACATGTTGTAGTTTGTGTATATAGACCACCTAATTACCAGAATCTTGCATTATTTGATTCGGTCATGGAGGATGTTCTGAGGAAGGTCTGTTCTAGCAATAAATCTGTACTTGTATGTGGCGATTTTAATATAAATTTATTAGAGAATAACACAAGTAGCATGGAGCTATTAAATTTATTTTATTAATTTAATTTGAAAAATGTGTTTCTGGAGCCGATCAGAATAACATCTTCCACAGCCACTTGTATCAATAATGTTTTCTGTAACTGTGATTATCTAGAAAAAAAAGTCATGAACAGCTTGCCTTCCGACCACTGTGGACTTATGGTTGCTTTTAGCTTTTACTTGCCTCTGCAAAAAATTCAAATAAAATTTAGACAAATTACTTTTAATAAATTAGAGAAACTCAAGAATTCTGTGGCTAATAAATTATGTACAAAAACACTAGTTATATATAGTAATCCTAGTCGGTTATACGAAGATTTTTTTAAAGTTATAAACACAGAATTTAACAATATTTTGCCAATAAAAACAAAAGACATTCATACCAAGTTCGTATTTAGCGATTGGGCAACTGTCGGTATTCGTAAGAGTAGAGACACAAACAAGAGTAGAGAGACAAACTTTTTGAGCTTTATGGAATGAAACCAGTCTAATCTCACATGTGTGTACAATATTGGAATATGTATGTATGTAATCTAAAACAGACCTTTTTTAAAAGAGTAACGAATGGAGTTTCTTGCTCGTTCTTCTCCACTCGTATCGACATTTTGGAACGAGCGCCTAGCTTCACTGACGGACAGACTGACAGACTATTATTTATTTCATATTTGTTGACGTTTCAAAAGTACCAAATTATGGTTTAATTGAAATAAATGCTTTTGAGTTTGAGTTTGAGAGTTTCAAACCTATATTTTCTTCTAGATCAGAATAAATTGACAGGTATAATGATTATTCATGATATATGTTCATTGAAGTATATCTATCCTTCGGAACCTGATACAAATAGTGATTATGACAGTCCATCAAGTATAATAAGTAGTTACATAATAAAAATAATTATACATGTTTTTTATTTTGTTACAATTTAGTTTTTCAATAAATAGATAATCTTATCTGTATAATATTGACATTTGACAGTTTTTAGTATAGATGACTAAAATTTATCCTCTGATAAAATTTATCTGGCATTGGAAAAACCAGCCCATAGTAAAATTATTTCATGTCCCTATTGTGCATGTAACTGTAAACTTTTTCAGGTATTACAGATCAGGCTTGGAGATGGTCAGAATGGCAAATGTTTATTTAACGGAAGGTAGTCTTGAAAATGCTTACATTCTGTACATAAAATTCATGACATTATTCCTGGAGAAGATACGCAAGCACCCCGAATATGCAGCGGTGCCACCCTCCGTGAAGGCTGTAAATCAGGCCAAACTGAAAGAAGTCATGCCGAAAGCTGAAAAACTGAAACAAAAGCTGCTTGATCAATATGCTAAAGAACATGTTCTCTATCAGGAAGAGGTAGATATTATTTAGATGTTTTAATTCAAATTTTGATTGGGCAATCGATTAGTCTTGTGATTAAATAGCGATCTCACAAGGCTAACATTGTAGATTAATTATATTATATAAAATTATTAATGTAAAATTCTTCATTATATTAGGAAAAAAAGCGTGCAGCGGCAGAAGAAGAACGGAAAAAGCAAGAACGAGAAGATGCAAAACTGGCTGAACGCCTTCAAGCTGATGAGAACAAAAAAGATGCGCACACGACTACACCACACCTGATGCATGCTGTACGTATAACTTGCAAAAGTTGCAGTTTTTACAAAAAAAACAGTTTATTAATGATGTCTTACGGCTAATTCACGTAAGTGTTACACACAAGGTAACGTGACTGGTTTCAAGCCACTGTAGGGGTTCATAGTCCACTGTGTACTACTTTGAGTAACCCGTAGAACATAATTTATTAACTATACTATAGCAGGCGAGCCAGCAGCGCCGATAGATATTTCACAAGAGGTATACAAATGAGTTTGCATAAAAGTGAATAAAAAGAAAAGACAATAATTGAGTTCCCCCTCACATTTACATCAAATTCATACAATCACACCCTCTGTTCACCAGTCGAAAATAGAGTGTTACATGTAACGTGTGCATTGAAATAAGACTGCATAAACACATTTTAAACAAATAATGAAAAAAATATAGTTCGATTTAAGGGATTAAAGCAATACTTCGAGTCATGCAATCAATAAGAATTGGTACAGATCACACCATGATGTGACGTCTGACTGTGACAATTGTAACATGCGTCATAGATAGCATAGTAATCTAAACTATACTTGATTTCGGTTACCCCAGATAAACTCGTGATTCAGCGGGCGATTAGATATGTTTATGTGTTATATTTGGTGAAACTGCTTGTATTGGTATATTATTAAATACAAAGTTGTCGTGTCAAGTGGCTAGTGTTTGCTTGTTTTAAATAAATTTCTTGTGAAGACTGCATGATGATGTTGAGTGTAGACTACATGTTAGGCATTACGCAGGAACAATGGGCGGTGTCCCCGTCGGTGCCCACGATGGATGGCGTGCGCTACCCAGATGACTTCGCCAACGAGCCGCCGAGAGCGCCGTCGCATCATTACCAGCCCGTGCCGCCGCTCATCCCACCCTCACGACCACAAGCGTAAGTATTTCATTTGCAAGTATGTCATTTATGTAACATAACATTTAAATACACGGACGAATCAGTATATAACGGATAATACTGGGTTCACCTTTTTGGATAAATACTCAAGTTAATACAGCTTTGCTCAATATCCATTTTGAGTATTTATCGGAAAAATCAGGCACGTATAGTTGTGACAATAGTGCATATGATTGCTTGTGCAGTGGCAGTGCGAGCGTGGAGACGTTGTTCGGCGCGGCGCGGCTGCGCACGGTGCTGGTGCCGGCCGCGCTGCTGGCTCGCTTCCTGCGCCTCGCCGCCTCCAACACCGCGCGCAACGTCGAGACCTGCGGCATCCTCGCCGGCATACTGGTGAGACACATGCCTTCTTATAACCTAGTACTTGATGTTCTAACTGTAACTAGCATAGGTCTAGCAACGGCGTACTCTTTTTCATTAAAGCCCTTTTATTAGGTCGACCTGTAACGAACTATGTAATAAAATCTAAGAATCTGAATTACACATAATGTGGAGTTTTGTGTAATGAATGACACATTATGCAACTTGGTAATTATATGTACTTTTTAAGAAAGTATAATTCACATAGTAATGTTTGACTTTATAGGAGCGCGACCAGCTAAAGATAACACACGTGATAGTGCCCAAGCAGACGGGCACGCCAGACTCGTGCAGCACCAACAACGAGGAGGAGATCTTCCACTACCAAGACCAACAGAATCTCATCACTTTAGGGTGGATCCATGTGAGTTTACACTTAAATCTTGCTAATATTATAAATGAGAAAGTTTGTGTGTTTGTGTGTTTCTATGTTTCTTACTCAATCACGTCAATTTGGAACAGGACTAGATTATGGTCTGGAATAACGCATAGACTACTTTTTATCTACTGGGAAAGCGAAGCTGCGGGTAGGAGCTAGTTTTAATATATTTGTCGCCCATTGGGTCCAGATATCGCATTACTTATATCGGAATCTATGTACACCGCTATACATCAAGTAATACAGTTATACAGACCCAGTTCATTATGGTCTCGCGTGTTTTCATCTTTTCACAGATTTAACGGTCAGTTAATACCGATTTGCATAGCTTGACGTGTATATGTATATACATATATACAATGTACATTATTTGTACATAGGTTTAGGCATGCCTCGGATCGACTAAATAGGAATATTAAGATTTTTATAGATAAACTAGCTTCTGGCCGCGACTTCGTATGCGCAATCCCGTTTACTCCCGTTCCCGCAGGATTTTCAGGATTTTTTTCTGTCTTCTGTAAGTAGGTGAAGGTCTTAACCTTCTCCTAATAATAACAAATACAACAAAAAAGAATTAGTGAAGTCGGTCCAGTCATTCACGCGTGATGCCGTGACCAAGGGAAAAAGGGATGCATTTTTATATATAGATGTAAGTACTGCGTTGCTTTCGGAAATTAATAATTAATCATGTTAACCTACTTCCAAAAGGATGACTGCTCAATTCAGGTGTTTTTAATTAAACAACAACATACACTTTGTTTACTAGTCTGAGTCATATCAATTGGCCATGAGTATGAGTACTAGGAACGTTTTATCAATGTTTTCAAACGAATATTAATTATAAACATTCTCATATGTGTATGAATCATTCGCTATCTTCATATCAACTTATCACTTGAAAGTGTTCGCTGTAGACAAGATAAAAGGCCTAGCTCAACAAGTTATTGATATTATGTATATTGTTCTTATCTTTATGTAACAGAACTAGTTGGAAAATGTATATTCAAGTTATCATCATCATCAGATAGATTGTTTTTTAACAAATAAAGTCAAAATGTACTTGGCTGATTTGCTATAAATAATTAATAGCGAAACTGGCGGCTGATCGCTTACCTTCAGGTGCCTCCTCGTATACCTACCTCATCCTTACTTAATATTATAAATCTGAAAGTGAGTTTGTTTGTTTTTTTGTTTGTTCCACTTTCACGCCGTAACTATTAAACCGATTGCTTTGAATTTTTGCAGACGTAAAGTAAGAAGTCCGGATTAAATAATAAGGTACTTTTTAACCCGGAAAAAACATATATTCCCGAGGTAAAACAAAAGTATTGGTATAGATGGCGCTGTGTGTATTGGTATATGTCACATAGGCTACTTTTTATCCTTTTGTGACGCGAGCGAAGCCGCGGGTAAAAGCTAGTAATTCATACATAGTAGCAAAAACTTTTCTGAAAACCGAATCAAAATTACCCCAGCCAATCGCGAGGTAATCGCGGATAAAAACACATACATACCCAAGGGGGTATGTACAAAAAAAGGCCTTTTTTGAAATCGTGTAGTAAGATATTATGGTGTTGTTACAGACTCACCCGACACAGACGGCGTTCCTGTCGTCAGTGGACCTCCACACGCAGTGCTCCTACCAGCTCATGATGCCCGAGGCTATCGCTATCGTATGCGCTCCTAAATACAACGAGTAAGTTACAATTTATAGGTAAACTAGCTTTTACCTGATCTCCTAATATAAACCTTCCTCTTGAATTACTATCTGTAAAAAAACGCATCAAAATCGGTTGCGTACTTTTAAAGATCTAAGCATTCATAGAGACAGACAGCACAAAGCAACTTTGTTTTATTTATTTATTTATTTAGTGACTGAACTGTTTTTAAATCATCTATAAAGTTTTAAATTATTGTAATAATTTTTTCCAGGACTGGTTATTTCGCATTGACACCGGACTATGGGATGCAGTTCATCACCAACTGTAGGCTGACCGGTTTTCATCCACACCCTGATGATCCACCTCTGTTCCATGTAAGTCATATTTTCAATGAATTCACCAAAGCTCCTCTGCTGAGTCCATACAAAAGTTGTGTCATACTACATAATCATTTGTATGTATGTAACGCCTGAATACTGAAAGGGTATCTACACAATTTTAAATTGTACTTAAATATCGTGCCATCTCTGTTACTTTACAAAGAATTTGTAGGGACAACTATACTTAAGCGCGACTTAAAATTGAGTGTGTGAGCCTTTGGGTATTTCGAAATTAGTCAGGCATTTTAACTAATTACTCTAGCCTGAAGATAATAATCAATTTAATAAACGACTAATAAAATAATAATATTTCAGACGGTAACACATATAAAGGTGGACGACTCCGCGCCCGTCGAGATCGTTGACCTCAGGAGATGAAGTCAATCATTCAATTAACACATACACTCTTCCATCAAAGCTTGCGTTCACTCGTAGAATTATGACCAGCTTCAATAACCTATATCTTGAAAGGTTATCTCGAGTAAAATGATCACGAAACTATTAAAAAAAACTCGACTAATTTCAAGCGACACTCGGGGCTTATATATAACACAAAATTGTGTGACGTTCTCACTAGTAACCAAATCTACTGACATAGATTATGAAGACTGGTCGTTAGTTAGCTTTATTATATCTGTAACTAATGCTGTTCCATACCAAGTATTATTGGAATAATTATAGTGATTATAGTATTGTTAGGGTTGTATTAGACACGGGGTATGTAATAACTGGAGGATTCATTTAGCGTATGATGTAACATCTTAATAGGGTTGTTTTCTTTACGGGTAAAATGTAATATTTGGCGATTTGACATAATTTTGTCTTACACAGTCTATTCAGTGTATACCCGCGCCCCGCTTACATAGAAACTTTTTCAGATTAGTTGCTTTTAAAAAAAGAACATTAACTAATCTGATTAAGAATGAACCACTCTATTAAAGTGAAATAAAAAGATGTGTATTCCGTGTTTCAAAGCTAACTTGTGGCATGTGTTCGGTACGGATAATTAAGCCTTTTTGTATAACAAGAATGACAGATATGTGTGTTATACTATAAACTAGACTTGGTAGCAAAGGAACGGAACCACTAGCGTCTTTTCTTTTCAATTTCTTGATAATTATTTTCTGATACATATATTTTATTAATTGGTAACGTACCTTTAAAATGAGAGCATTTGTTGTAACTTGTACTATTGGGTTTTTAAAAAAATCTCAGTAGTCGGAGTCTGGACTTGTACCCGGTATATGGCAATACCCTCACCCTCTATTACGTGGGACTCATAACATGAATAGTTAAAAGTGGGTGTTACATTGTACAGTGGCGTTAAGTGCCGTAATGTGCACCTCTGACTACGTTGTTGTATGTTGTAAAATATTTTTTTAATGTTAAAGAAAGTTCGATGACATGAAAAAAGCGCTAGTAGCGCCGTTTGTTTGCTGTCAAGTGTAGTTTTTTTGTTACATTTCCATCACGCTTCACTAGGTTAGTTACTTAGTATATAGGTAAGCACAGTGTGGACATTATTTACCTTATAGGCCAATGTGATATAGTTACTATTATAAAAAACTTTGTAGATGCTTTAAAATATAATTGTTATGTAAAACATGAATGTTTCTCGTTAAGATTTTATTTATGCGTAATTATTTTAAATAATTACATTTGTTGAAGCACAAGAGTTAATGTTAATATGTTTTTATATTTACTTAATGTATTTTTCACTATCTTACTTTGTCTAGTATGCTATATGGATATCATACTACACAAAGACACAAACATTCATGTATTTATTACTAAATGTGCCTGCTTCGATTGCACGGTTGTTCAAATATAACGTACCTTATTCTGGTCAATGATTAAATCGCTTCACTATAGATAGTGTTACGAATTAGACTCTGGTTAGACTAGACAACTATAAATCAATAAGTACTGTTAGTAGTTATAAATATTACAAATACAAACTACGTGTATTTGTGTACTATAGAATAGAACAAGATGGCTAGATCAAGTAAAATTCAGTGTTTTTAACGCACCAGCTTCGTGTTTCGTGTTCAATGATTCCATATAAATATTACAAAGAAATTATAAATATGAACATACATATTAACTATATGCCAGCGAAGGGCATGAATCGAAACTTGCAAATTTAACAGTTGCCCTGGACAATTATAACTTTTGAATGTATGTGCGTAGAAAGGAGTTAACTTCTATAGAGACTCCTCGCTTCCTCGTGTATGTTCCAAATTACTGTGGTTTAGTGATTCTATTCTATTGATCTTCATAATTCTCATACATTCAGACTAGTCTAACTCGAGCATTTATGATGAACTAACACTATTACATATATTTATTGTGTGATATATCATACGCAGCCTGAAGACTGAAGCTTAATGTTTATATAAAATAGATATAATATATTTATTATATATAATTTCTATATTAACCATCTTGTTTGAAATTTTCGCTTTTAATTTTTAATCTGTAATCTCAAATTTCTAAGTTTTATTTTTATGTACAAATCATTATTTAATTCTCTCAAAGGCTATGAGACCTTTGAAAATATTTTGACAGATTACGAATTGTGTAAATATGTATGTGTGTAAGAAAATATAAAGTTTATTTTATTGTATCTGTGTACAAGGTGTAATAGAAAACTGATATTGATGACGTTAATGTACTTGTCTACAAATAATTGAACAAATTTTCCTAGTTCAATGCATTTATTTCGAATAATCCATATACAGAGACAGAATTGTCCTTAGATCCATATGTCAATGAAGATGACTATGAAATGTCGTTTAGCGTTATCTAATATGCGCATTCCATCCCACGATAATCTGACGATTTCCGGCCACCGTTAGCATAAGCCTGCGAACGGCGAGCATCGAATGACTTCTCCCGCCTCGCCCAGGCAGGAGAAGTCATTCGATGATTTCCCCCATTGATAAAAATCCTACGATAATCTGTGTACCTCTAAAATGACTATGAAGTTCTATTACACACTGTATATGGTTATTTATGACATTTGTTTGTGTGAGTGCACCATTCATTGTAACATTATTTCAGCACATGTGTATCAATGTTTCAATAATGTTGTTCGTGCCATTTTGTGTATTAAGTCTATGTATTGCATATTGCACTTGAATATGTAATTGCTTTGAAGAATTATATAATTATAATCTCATTACTATACGTTATAATGTTGATAAAGTAGAGAGATATGGAAATCGTTATTATTTGTACCAATAAATATAATCTTTATATTTAAATTCGGACTGACTTTAATTATATTATAGACTGAATATTGGTATAAATAATTATAAATTTTCGTATTAGTTTGTTAATGGATAGAGTGCAGGTAGGTTCATGGAATGCGAGTCGGATTTGTCTTTAGTTTTTTTTTTATTATCAATAATGTCTTGGTACTTAATACTCAGTATCCAACTGCAGCCACAAATGGTAATTTACACTTTGAAATCAAATATGTAGTATTTAGTAAAGGAGCTTATAATTATAAATGATGAACAATGACTTATTCTTTTATCATTATTATGTAATTAATTACATTAATTTTTCATGACTCATATCGGTGCATTCAAGCGGTTAAAGGTACCGGTAAATAGTGCTGAGGACACTCCTTAACTCGCTTTTGACAAATCTAAATGCATTCTATCTATAAACATTATTAAATGGAAGTGTATATCAATGTTAAAGATCAAATACTAAAGCGATGTTAGTAAATAAATGTGCAATAATGTCATCTAGGAAATAAGTGCAGTCTTATGTATGTGTGATTTAACTAACACGGACCAATCTGAATAAAACGTTTATTAAATTCATTACATGTTTTATTAATTGCATAATTTTAGTACATAATGTAGATATGCATCATTGGCAGTGAAGCGAAACTATATGTACGTACATAATTTCACACACACCTAAGTAACATTAGGAATAAGGTTTTTATTAGGCGATAATATTTATTCGCAGCAGAGACGGTAATTTCAACGTTCTTGGTTGACAGTGAAAAGTACTTTCCTTTGGCGTATGTAAAAGTTAAATGTTGCTATTGAATTCGGTATTTCAGTGGTTAGGGGCTTTCCTGCTTTTATTTGAATTTATTTTGCCATAAAACACCCCTGTGTTTCTATAACTGTCGCCTAATAAACACACAAACACATTAACAATTGTAATTAGGTAGAATATTAATAAGTAAGTGTTAATTCTATACGAAGTGCACACGACACAAGAACATTGCTTCTTTCATTAATTAGATACATTATCATAATTATATTTTTTTCGTCAAGACGACACAACACCTACTGTTTACACAAAAATGAAACTTATTTACATTTAAATAGTACTTAAACTTACTAAATTACACAGCATTTTTACAGACTACGGTTCAATAAGGCACTCTGTGCTAGTTTAATTTAATATTAAATTAAGTACTAAATACTTTTACAAATAAATAAAGGAAAGCTAACCATAAGATGAGGTCAATGCTTTGACTTTGTCCCCTTAAGAAAAAATTATAGCAACTATTTTTCGGCATCTACTGACTGCATTCCATGGTTGTGATGACACTAACGCCATTATTAAAACTCCTGCGCTAATTAATAGCTAGACATAGTAATCCAGTGTCCACTGTGTCTAGCTATGCTATACACTGGGCAAACAAAACTCAGTAGTTTTGTTTTAAAATCAGTTCTGTAACTAAGTAATTGGGATGATGGCAGGGTATGAAAATTAAAAATCTAATTAGTCCGTAAGTTAGGTAATGAAAGATATTAGACACATATTTTTTATTTTGTCGTATAATAAAACAATACTTGGATAAAGCGAATCAATGTTTAGGAGTGGGGGCTAAAATGTAATTTCTACGTATAAAATGTACATAGAAGTGACGTCACGCGACATATCAAATCAATATATCGTCGAAAGTATTTGTTTCTGTAAGAAAATAAAAAATACGTGTCTAATGATTTAAAATAATCTCCCAGACCGATATTAAAATAAAAATTAGGCATCTACCCTATTGTCTAAGGACCTGCTAATCTACCCACTTAGTGAAATAAAACATAATTTGTACAATGTTCATTCAAACTAACTAGATTGTGGGGACTAGTATATCGTGCGCGCTAATTCTAAGGCACAGGAATCTCCACCGGCTTCACAATACATGAATACAATTTTGAAGTTAATGTTCAGAATCAACATAGTTAGCTAAGTACACAAACACCTACATGGAAGTCGACAGCGGGTAGCAAGAACACAAATATGTTTGTGGAAAGGAAATTGTTTGAATTTAAGGGATTACAAAAAAAATCTATTTTGGTGCAATTTGCAATAGGTATTGCTAGATTTTCTAGCCTATTAGGGCAAAGCCCAGTTGAAAACTACTCTATGTTCGGAAATTATTAGCGTTTCATCAAAATATGTTGCAGTCATTTCAGCCCAGGGTCGCTCCCACTATATTATTTAAAAAAATGTTTTTTCTGGTGTTCTTCACAGAGAGAATAAGTATCCAGATTCAATAAGCCATATGCAGTTAAATACCTATTTAAAAAAATCCATGCGGACTAGGAGAATATCAATGCTAAGCTACCCCAATGTTGAAAAGTATTACGTACTATAATTCGTGAAAATGCTGTACCCGGAGTCGACGTCCGTGTCCACATAACCAAGCATACTAAAATATTACAAACACGTAGAATTCCAACATTGCTAACATTGCGTAAGTAGGCACCATCTCGGATATGACTTTCGTACACACAAAGGCACTATAAATATAACAACTTAATAATTTTAAAATATGACTATAAATTGCTATCTATCAGCATCAGCTGTTTCGTCTAAGTATTATAACAATTTTCTAAAATATCCTAAGTATTAAAGTACAAACATTGATATAAGATGAAAATTTTAAATAATTTTAACTGGATACGTAATTAGTATTAAAGGTTACATAGTTACATGATTATATCCAGCTCGTATAAAGATCATTATTTTATTACACAAAATATAGTAACACGAAAGATAATAGGAGTACAGAGAACTTTGCACTATTCTCAGTAGAGCTACTGACTAGTTTCTTGGCTTTAGAGGGCAGCTCGATGGGGACAGTCTTGTTCATCATCCAGTATAAGACATCGGTGAGGCCCCGGGACTTCAGTTCCGGTCCTACTTCTCTTCTTATCCTATCATTGTAGTCATTCAACCATAAAATCTGGAAATAAAAGGTCAGTGTTTACGAAAATAATGGTCTAGAAATTGGATAAATAGGCAATATTGGGTACTTGCCAAATATACTTTTTTCGAACTGTCAAAAACGACAGTTTTAAATTTAAGTGGTTATAAAATGTATATGAAAATATGATTATTTTTTAATATTTTATTGTATTGAACAGTCGAAATAATTTATTTTTGATTAAAGAAAGCACCCAATTGAAAAAAGCCAATGAAATGATGACGATGCGTTTGAGTAATTGAGCATTCGTCTTTTTGTCTTACCTCGTACTCAGTAAGCATACTCCTGTCTATTAGTTTTGGCTCGTACGGTAAGAGAGTGGCCTCGCGGAATCCTAAGTAGCCGTTCGGCCTCAACACCACCTCCAGAACATTTCCTAAACGCACTCCATATTTGCCAGTTTCATACCATCCTGGTTCTGTGAATGAAATAAAATAATATGTATCGTGTACTATTTGCTTTATTTTTCAAAATTAGTGCTAACTTCTACTTACCGGCTGTAATAAAGTACCCTTCCCTCAGTGTATGCAGATTTGTGTCTTGTCTGTAGTCAATAACTACTGGATCTGGAGAAGATCAAAGCAAAAAACTTTAAACATTGTTCTAAATAATACTAGATTAGCAGTCACGTAGGTATAAAGCCGCAGAACCTCAAGGGAGTCCACAGACGCGTTTTGATGTGTGGCAAGGGTGTGCTACTTTTTATATATAACTCCAATAATACAAACTTTAGTTTTAAATATTAAGGGGTTGAAAAATAAGCCTGTTATTACGGACCTTCCTTGCGACACAGGGCAGCGCCTACTCCGTGTCCAGTAAGATGAGGATAGTCCTGTTTGGCAGCCCAAAGTGGAGCCCGAGCTACAGGGTCGACGTGCGCCGCGGGCAAGGTAGATGGGATGCGTAACCCTGCTAACGCTGCCAAGGATCGCATCACCGTGGTATATACTCGTCTTTCTTCGCGTGTTGGCATCCCATAGTGCACGGTACGAGTCACTATTGTTGTCCCCTCTGTGTACAAGTCACAAAGTAATGTTAATTTTAGTAAGAATTAAATAGCGAATGAACGACAGTGCGAGGGTAGACCATAAATAAACTGCATTGTTAGATATTTTTCTTCAGTACTAATTTGGTTTTAGTTCCAGACTAGGCACTTATTTGAGAAAAATGGCTATAAAAAGAAAGAACTCCTAGTTTACAATTAAATTACCATCGTACTGTCCTCCGGACTGTATAACCAGCGTGGCATTCTTGGTGATAAGTTTGTTGGAGGCGTTCGTCGCTCGGTAATCGGGATCCGCGGCGTTTATACCGAAAGCGACGCGTGTTTTCATAGCAGGTCCAATGTACCCAGCCTGCGTATCTCGGGTTATGTCCACCGTGCGCTCCACTGATATTTCACTTAGTGCTGATTTACTCTGGTACCAGAAAAGGAAGGGATGACATTATACTTTCATATGGTTCAACTAGGTATAGACTTAATTATTAAAACATTTCGTCACCTCAAGATAGCTGAACAAAGTGCACATGGCAACTGCATCCCACAAGTGAGCTTTTTTCATTCCCTTTACTTCTGCCTCGTTCTTCTGAGCCTTGAGGTATATGATAGGGGAGAGCAGGAAAATTCGCTTGGCAGGTGGAACGCTCTGCGCTATAGCAGCAGACGCACCGCGCTGGAACGTACCCGCTGCAGGAATCAGGATCTTGGAATCTGGTACCCGCCGCAGCTCTGAGTATATGCTGGTATACTCATTTACCCTTTTAGAAATTAGCTAATTAGATATTTCAATCATTAATTTGAACAAATTAAGAGAAATATTATTGAATGCATTACTTGGTGCAGTTGTTGGCAAAGCAGTTATACAGGAGCGCGTCCCGTACATGTACGGACAACTTTCCTGGTGGCACGAACACCTTGACTTCGCGCAGGGTGATATACACGAAGGCTTTTAGTAATCTAGCAAAAGGTAGGTCCCTTCCTCGCACGTTTAATAACCAAGCTACTTCATCTAGAGCCGTCACGATCATCGCATCGGCTCCGACTGCGTGCAGCTCACTTCGAACCTGGGCCACTTTGTCGCGCCAACTGACGCCTGAAACATAAAGTGATTGCCATAATTTTTTCTTGTTAGTCCATAAAGTAATAATTTGGCTAGAATTACTAACCAGCATGCTCTATTTCATAATTTTTGGCGACAGTTTTGGGGAAGTCGGGTCGAGTGCGGTCTGGGTCAGGCTCTTCGTTCCAAAGCTGGTCAACCAGTGTTGGAATATGTACTAGTTGCAGCCCCTCACGCTGTAGGGCTGTGGACAAAACTTGCCACTCTCCCATCGACGTCAGGCGAGCGTCACCCCCCACACGACCACTGCGAGATAACCGCTCCTGTGATAAAAGGTAATGTCACAGTAAAAAATAAGTAGATAAGTATAATTACATACTTTAATAATTATGTCTACTGCCTAAAACAACAACTTGAGTACAAAGACAGTATGTGTGACTAGTGGTAAATGATGTGTGTATGACAATTGACAACACACACATTGCATACCATCGAATCTTTTTAATTTTCAGTAGGGATAGGTAGAGACACGTATTAATTAACGTAAACCCCATGTTCATACCAGGCAGTGATGCTTGCAAGGCAGTCACGAGAAATATTAAAGTAGATTACAGAAACAACTTACAGAAATCCATTCGGCTATAGTTGGCTGACTAGGATCGTCACCATCGATGACAAGCCATGCGCAAGTGAGCGTAGCCCTCGCGCGCCGTACGTCGCCGGACGGCACCCATATGGCAGCGCCGCCGTCTGCCAATACGGCACCGGTTCCGGACCCGTCCCACCCACTGACGTATTCTAATCGTCGTTCCGATTTGTGAGGCTCCTCGCTCTAAACCACAAGCATTTGTACATTTTTAAGGAACGTTATGTCATTCTTTTCATGATAGTTTATGCATGTTATTTGGTATTATAATACAGGTACAATCTCGAAGAAAATTGCTTACTGAAAAATATATTAGACATATTTAGTTGGCTGGCGTCAAAATACCTCTAATTTATTGTGTTTTTTTAGCAGAATTGGTACCTAAATACTTATAATTAGATATTATTTATATATTAATCTTGATATCTTACCAAATGCTCATCAGTAAAGAATATAAGAAAAGCATCAAAGAACGCGTTCATTTGTGTATAAGCGGAGTTTCTCATAGCGCTACGTAGCCTTCCTAGCGGATTGTTGACATCAATAGCGTCCGCACAGACGGGAGGAACCGGTTGCGTCGGCTGTTCCTGCAGGATGGTGAGCGGCACTGGTGACATCGATGGCGTCAGTGACACCGTCGTCGTTGTAGGAGGCATCTGCGCTGACAAACGCGCGCCATCACATACTGAAAGTAAATGATTAAACGTTTAGTAATTGATTCTAGATGTTCAACAACAAATATTAATCAATTACTATTTTGGTACTAATTAATAGCATTCATTCAAAACGCACTATAACTTTTATGTTATTCCGGACACTTGTCTGGAATCATGGTAGTGGCCTTTTCTGTGGTAGTACCATTATCATAATCCAGACAGTGTTATGAGAATGAGAGATAATATTAATATTGTTGTCCCTTTCTCGATGCACGATAACTAAAAAAGTTCACCAGAAGGAGAAAGCGGCTAGCGACAGTGGTGTTTGTAGCGCGGGAATGTACCAGGGCATCATGCGAACCGAGGAGATCCAAGAGACTTAAAGCTTTCCAAAAGCTCACGCGTGCGACAAGGATGGCAATGGGACCGACAATTCACCCTCCCGTTTCAACATTGTTCCCCGAACGCGGGATCCTTTTATTGTTAGGGGCGTGTCTTGTACCCAACCTTCATTCTATAGCTACTTACAACATAACGCTCACTGCTCACTACAGAAGGAATGGTCAGGATGTCAAAAAAGTTATAAATATCTTTCTAAACATTTTTGTTTATGATGTTACTAACACAAATCTTAAAACAACTGACTGCTTACATACATGTTGATAACATGTATGTAAGTTGTTGTATGTAGGTTATCTGATTTAACTTGCTTGATATCTGCTTTAATTTCTTATTTTTTTGTAAAAGTAAATAAGTAATGAAAATAAGTAAATTCAATATTTAAATGTTACAATTTTGCTTATTTTGGCAAGAAAGGAATTTTAATAATGTGGAGAGTAAGGTCAACGTTCGGGAGGTAGAGGTACCCAGGGGATGTGGATTCTATTGGAATGACGTCAACAACTAACAGGACTTCATAAGGTATGAAGACGTATTTCGTCCTTTCCCTTTCATTCAACGTTTGGGGGTGGAGATTGTGGGTGATAAAATGAAGTACGTAATTTGTTACGCCGAAATGGCTGAAATGACGTCTGTAAATGCCAGGGTCGCATGATTTGGAAGAGGCTGAAAAGATAGCCTATTTTGTGTTTGTCGACTAAAGGTCTATTACCAAACAAACATAATGTCCTACATGATATATATATATACATAAAAATATATAACTTATAAATTAAGTATTTATTTATACATAATATAAATCCTAGTACTAAACGAATGTTACTTATAACGAGAAGGATAATGAGGAACGTCATAATATACATTTAGATGTCTGTGAACTACATTAATAATAACTGTAGTCAATCAGACAGGCTGATTTTATACCCAAACAAAACAAATTACAATAAAAGAAACACAAACAACATCAATCAATAAAATAAAGGTACTCCAAAAATAAAAAGAGAAAAATATATTTAGTAGAATAAAGTTCATATTTCTGAGCACTTAATAAAACTGATTGTTTTTTAGATAGCAAGTCGCCTTTTCAAAATAATATATATTGCTTACGTATCCTCCTGTCCCTTAAGTATGGCCTGTCGTATTCCCAAAGGGACGAAATATCCTGCGAGATACTAGGCTGGCATAAGATATAAGAGCCGTAAGATTGTAACATTGTCCTGTTCAAGGATACTCAAGGATAAAAGGCAACGACCCTCGACGACCGTGGCGGCGCGCAGTGCAAGCGACTGCAGCGGCCATTCACTCGACATGCTACAATACCTACGCGTTAGTGAATAAGTAACGCAGTACATTGGTAATGATAATGTGTGCGTCATTCTCACTGAGCTATAAGATAGTTCTGCTATTAACAATAAGATCTACGATTGGAAAATCAAGTAATTTTCTAAATGGTACTCGCTCACTTTGTCTGCAGCGGTGAAAACTCTTTGATATGAAGCAATGTTACTATAGAAAAAGTTATGATTATTATGTAAAGTAGCTTTGTATAATAACAATTATGATACGTAGTAGCATCTATTTTATTATTGAAAAAATATCTTTACACTCATCTCTTCTTTTCTTCATTGATACCGGAGATACGATCGAAATTCTCCCGAAATGAAAAACAAACAAGTTATTACGAACGAGTTTCCCATCTTTTTTACTAAGGTAGCATGACCACAAAGACGTAGTTTCACAAAAAGTTTTTCTTGTGTACATGGCGTGAAAACAGGAAATCTGGAGAATAAATTATTTATTTGATGATTACTAAATTAAATTAATATAAATTATTATAAAAGTCAAGATTAGTTACCTGCAAAACATACAATGTACAAAAGCAGCAATAATATTTTAATAAACTTTCATAAACAATGGTAATCAACGAATATCAAACTGACATTCTGTGTAGCAAGTAGCATCAGATTCTATTATTTCCATCCAACTAATCTGGTAAATTCTAAAAAAAATGCGTGTGCGTAAGAACAATGGTTTGCCCCCTTTTTATACCAGGATAATATAGGTTGCCAAGAGTTGTTGGATTCCGAAAGGACCGCCATGACATCGTGTGGGGTGTTGTGTAGGCGGGATCCACAGGCAACAGCCTATACCTATACAAAAGGGAAACGTCGGGGTGTGCGTGAATCGCTCGTATACAAAAAAGGAAATATAAGTAAAATTTATGTATATGTCTGCGTAGCTTGCTATCATAACTTGACTCAAAGGACCAATTTATTTTACAAATGATAATATGTTACTGTAATAATTTACGGATTTTAATAATCCATTTTTAATCGAAACAAATCTATGTTAGAATATTAATTTAATAATTATTTGTTTCGATAAATGAATGAACCATTTTTTATCAATAACGATTAAAACAACGACTGCTAAATCTTAATTATTATACCGAATCCTTTGACAGTAAATCCAAGACGATTAATACTCGGAAAGTATTTTTATTAGCACGTCTTATGACGTCAATTTCCACTGGGTTATCATAACTCTATAGGAGTTCTTTCAACTTCCCGAAGGTAAAGAAACTACGAATGACGGGAGCGGTACGCACTGTCTGTTTCGTACACATCGCTACGTCATGTGACGTCAGCAGCGTCATAATAAAAAGATATTCATGAATGATTACGACACACAACACTGTATCGACTATCGTACATACAAAACTTAGTACACATTTGTCCATTTTAATAGCTACGAATATAAGATATGAATGTGCCGTAATTATTCAAAATATTACGTACTATAAAATATTTAATTTAAATAATAACAATACGCTTCAATACAGTAAACGAGTACTTGAAACTATTTTACAATGGGTCGTGTGTCGTGTTCCACGTAACCCGTTCGCATTGGACGTCGAACATTTACTAGGAGCACCTAACTCGTCAGAAGGTGGATGATATTCGGCTTGAGTAATAGGTGCTTATTGCACACGAGAAGGTATATAATAAAACGTCACAAATATTGTGTGTCTAACTCAACATTTATGTTATGTTTTCCCTGTAACTTAAAGCCGATATTGTTGCAACTGAAATAAAAAAACATGGAAGTAAGTATCTAGAAAATGCATATTTTTGCATTCTTCCTTCTTTTTCCAAACTATACTTTGTATAAGGAATGCAATGCCTTTAGAAATTGAAATGGTAGTACTGAATGGGCTGACATTCAGAACTAGATCACATCATTGACCAGTGTTAATCAAAATGTAATGCGTAATATATGACTGTCTGGACGTCCTATGTATGTCTCGTTATAAAAGTAGCTTAGTCGTATGTAACAACTTTTTTGTTCTTTATTTTTACCAAAGCTCCTACCATACAATTATACTGTCTCTGTACCATTCAAGGTGAGAGAAAATGTTTCAGGTCTATTTAGATAACGTTTTGTCCATGAAGTATTAAAATAACAAGAAAAAATTACATAAAAATGCGTAGATATCAGACATAAGCAATCAGGATACCATAAAGTCAAGAAGATAATATGTTTGTCAGGTATTTATTTATGTTCACACACATAATTATGTAGATACTGAATTTATTATGGTAGGTAGTAGGTATCTGCTTATTAAAATTATGTACTTAAATGTGTACGAAACGTATATGAGAGTGAATCAATTCATAAGGTAGGTTACGTTTATGTGCCTGATTCACCAAAGTAAACCAATTACTGACACATTGAGATTTAATAATAATTAGGACTATTATTCAATAACATTAAAATTAAAAGAGTAACCTTTGTAAATTACGCTTGCCTTTTTGAAGTAAAATCCAACTGCCTAGAAACGGGATAACGTCATATAGCTACACATTCTGTGCATGCCACAAGTTTACATTTCTTTTTTGGTACAAGTTAGTTGTGTTGTACGATGACATTACAAGTCGAGAGTAAAAATATGATCTGTGTGTAGCACACAAGCCTGACACCAACGCATACAGATATAACACGACGAGAGGAACAGAGACCGAGTTTACGAAACACATTATAATAAGCCCTCCGCAGCTATGCTGGTCTCTTTCTCTCCGCGCGTTTTCCAACTGCTACGACTATCGTCGGTTGGAGGAAAACGGAGGGAGGCGCGTATGCAGTCAGATAGCTGAGCAGTTTGTTGTACCGACTGGTAAGTAGTGAAGGGCAATGCACCTCTGTCGCGTGCTGCGAGCCTGGTGCAATAGTCGCTGTTGACGCATGTCACCGCGTCATGGGGCGTGTGCGACGGCGCGGACTGCCTGCTCTGTTTCTGTGTTGTGGTAGCGAAGACAGCCACATTTGCATTGTTTGTACTGTACACCAACATGTCAAACAACGTGTCTGTAGTAGAAACGTGTGCGTCTTTATATGTGTGCGACGCATGTATACGTTGGTTAAATTTTATTTTACTAAAATTAATTTAAAATAACATTTATTTTCAGGCCTTGTCCATGTTCATATTAAATAACTCAAACATGCCTTTCCTTTTATTTAAATTATTATAATTTTTTACATGTCTATTCTCTTCACACACGAAAACTAAATAACATACTGTCACGAAAGGTAATCCTAATAAATATGTAGAGTCGGTAATGTGTGGGTCACG